CGGAGGGGGGGGGAGGCTTTTAACAAGTCATGGGCGTATCAAGTCAGGAGAAATTATGAATTTCTCGCTTTTCTTTTTATATTTTTCAACTCAAAAAGTAGTCTTTGCGCTGCCTCAATGTAGCAATGGTGCATTATCATAATAATTATAAGGGTGTATTATTCCATTTAGTTTTGAAAATAAAACACGTTGCAGGAAACTTGCGTATGATTTGTGCTTATTGCATTATCATGTGTCTTCTCGGCGTTATATTATATTACATGCCTTAAAAATTGGTAGTCGTATTGAAAGTTAGCACCTCGTTTTGAATCTCGCTTTGCTCTGAAATGATATTGCAAACTTATTATAAATGTTTTGGATGAACAGTGTAACACAATATTCAAATAAGCTAATATGCATAATAATATTGTGAGCAATTTTGTTTTCCATACTGGAACACAGTGCATCAAATAGAACAAAATGTAGAACTAAAGTAAGCTAAATTTATTGCTTCAGTCTTCTTTTGGCCTATTTGTTTGTGATATGTGATAATGTTATCTTGAATAGAAGTAAAGATATTTTTGCAATTGAAGAAGGTGGAGGTTGTCTGGTTTCAGAGGCAAAATTAGCGAGAAAATGGCCACCAAAGTTTGGTGACTTCCAATGCTTGGGAGTACTTGGGAACTGTTAATGTACATTTTTCGTGCCCTTGATCAACGTTTGTAATTTTCAGTAAATCCACATATAAAGTGTGTTTTTCAATAGACATTAAGTTTAGGTCTTTGAACAACAACAAAAATCGATAATAATTTGCCCAACTGCCATAAATTGCAGATTTCTTTTATTTCATTATTTTGACAAGCGCCTGATTTCACTATGATGCCTCATAATATATATAACATTTTTCTATTTCATATTTTAACAAAAAGGGACCCACGGAGAAGGAACAGAAGACGGCGGAGAACAAAAAGAAGAAGAAAGGAGCAATCGACGAAGATGAGCCGGACATGGACGCTCTGGATTGGTGGAGCAAATACTTTGCTTCTGTCGAGACGATGATCAGGGTATGTTATGCGCATACGCGAGCTTTTCGTCCTTTCCGCTCTGCTGCTATGCTTCCCCGCCCCGTTGTAATGCTTAAGTGAAGTGTGCACTTGTCCGAAGACTCGGATGTGTATGTTCTGATTGGATCAGAAAGTACAAATCAGTGGAAAATTGCTTGAGTAAAAAAAACAACTAAGTTAACGAGAGTAAATTCTATGCCGTGTACTTTAGAATGAATGAACAGGCTTTCTGTTTGAGGGGTGCCGTTGAACGTCAGTCATCCTCTTCGTTATGTTCAAAATATACCACCTCAAAATTTGGTTCTGTTCAGTTGTTTCTCTTACGTTTATATTTTGCCCAGCATCTTGATTATCATCGTATGCAAAGTGATTGTGAAACATTTACTGCTTGCTTAGACTTTCCAAAATCGGTTCCGATGATGTCAAACAGGTATCAGATCAGATTAATTTGTCTATATAGGTCATCCACATAATAGGAATATTCAGCAAACTCGTGCAAATGTGCTCTCCATTTTGAAAAGTATGTATGTTTTTCAGTGCGTGTGAATGACACATCAGTTTTAACTGTATTGTTATGCCAATTACTACTACTTTGAGGAATGCACAGAAATAATACTATGAAGGTCTATTCGAAATGTTCGAAAGATAACAGCTGATCATGTGATAACTTTGTGAGGATTGAGTGTCCTGAGGGATTTGTTATTTTTGTACCAATTTTTCTTGACCAAACCAGGCGAAAGAGGGGTGGGGTGATTGAAGACTTTAATAAATCAACCATTTATGATACCTTAGACTATAAGAGAATTTAAAACACAGTCTGTTGTAAAGAATAATTAAGAGTGTTGGTAGGGATAAAGCCAAATTTGACCTGGGTTGCTTGGGGTTTTTTTACTGGATTGTAGAGGATAGTCAAAATTCATATAATTTATGTATTGCATTAATTCATTTGGTTTGGGCATTTAAATTATGATTAGAGGTAGAGCAATGTACAAATCATTTAAAAACTGATATCCCGTTGATGTAATTTTAGTCACAAAAAATGTGTATGCCTGTGTGGGTGTGCGTGTGTACGTGTGTGCGTGTCAGTGTGTACATGTTTATGAATGTGTCTGTGCCTGCTCCTATTCTCGAAATTGTTCTACAAATTTAAAGTTGTGTTTTCTGTGTGACAATGATTATTTAGTGCGTTCTACCAAGGTATGGAGAAATTTTAGCTTTCTTTGTTTTGTTGCAGTGGAATCAATTCTGAGCTTTCACCGGCTTTTCACTGCTGAAATTGACATTTCTCTGAAAAGCATAAGTAAATAAGATTCCCTACAACAAGTGTATTTCTTTCAAATACGTCAATAGAAAATTTGACAACGCTAGGTTCAAATTTTCGAAAGTTTCTCGTTCTGGAATAAAATCCAGATTCGAGGCCACCTCTTTAACCAACATTACTAACTGCGCAAGTATTTTTATAAAAAACGTACAAGGTTTGTGGAGTCTTCGTGTGACTTCCATTAATTCTTTTTTTGCTCTTCAGTTTGATTTGTTTTTAAAGTGTTTCCAACTAGACTCTCCATTTGTATACGTATATACTGAAACTAACATAGTAGATGTACACCTTCAACAAATGTATGTATGCATTATGTAGTCATTTATGTTGTTACAGCCCTGTTTTGTAGCCTTTGTCCTCCTTAGCCCCCTCTACCTGATTATGCCCCCTTTTTTCTGCCCAGGAGGAAGGCGAAGAAGTAGAGGTAATTTTGCTTTATTTTTGGCTTCTCATTTTTTCTACGCATGTCAAGGCAAGACGAGGCATGTACATGTCTTGGGATGGTGTTATTAAACCTGGCGAGAGAACAAAATATTGTTGTTTCCCCTTGCCAGAGAGTTTAGTTCAACTTACGTGTTGCTGCAGACAACATGTATCTTAACGCTCTGGCGTTATCTGTGCTTAGATCAGACAGAGACCAGAAGGAAATTATAAAAAGTGAAAAGGTGGAGGGGGGAGCGGCAAAAAAACTTGAAGTATACACACTTGACTCATAAAGAAATATAGAAAAGGGGAAGGTTGGAGAAAGGAGGAAAAGGGGGTGGGGTGGATAGAGCGTGAAGTACATACATTTGTCTTTTGAAATTTTGTTGTTCTTTTTTTTTCTGAACACCAGAGCGCAGTTGTTCCATGATCTAAGCTTGGAAGGGCGAGTCTTTTTTTCCCCTATCTGATTTCAGTTTGATTTGTTTTGCATTCTTAAATTCCTGAATGCGTTCCCATCTAGTGTTATGGGGAAATCCCGTAGCGTGGTTTAGAGATGACCCAGGATGTTACTCGGGGGGGGGGGGGGTTGCAAAGTGAGGCAGCGTGGTGAAATCAGGCGCTCGTCAAAATAATGAAATCGAAGGAACCGGTATTTTTCTGAAGATTTGGAAAATTTTATAGAATTTTTGATTTTTGGCTCAACATCTTTAATGTCCATTAAAAAAACCCATCTCTGTATGGATTTTACCGAAAAGTGTTGATTAAAGGCACCAAAATTGTTTTTTTAAATTTGTAAGGACTCTCAAGCTATGGAAGTGACCAAACTGTGGCGGCCATTTTCTCGCTAAACATCTCGACTTCTGTTCAGGGTAAAAGAGTATTTTTTTCGTCCAAAGCAAGGCAAATGAACAGGCTATAAGATGATAGCAATAAGTCCACATGCCTAAAAATGACGAGCGTCTGATTCCACAGTGTGGGGAGCAAAATTTTGCATTAGAACATCAATAGGATCAGTGGGAACAGTATGAGGTGAACAAAGCTTCACAGTGCTGCCATCTGGTTGCATTTTGACAAGTGGTCAGACAAGTACTTGCCGGGTTTGTTTTGTTTGTTTTGTTTTATTCTGTTCTGTACAGCTGCACCTGTGTTCAGTACCAAACTGTGCTGCACTCTGTCTAGGAGATGAAGAAATCAGCGTAACGGAACGGTCGATCTTTTCTAATGGGACTACAGTGTATGAAGAGGGGAGATGATAGAGTGGGTGATTTACCAAAAGGGGCGCTCTCAGTGTGATGGGAAATAGAAACAAGATAATGGGAATCGAGCATAAAGTATTTTTCAATCCATCCATTCGCCACCCAACCCCCTCCCTTTTGCTCTAGGTTTTTTTTTCTTTACAACTCTGTTTCTTTCTCACTTTCTATCTATCTATCTATCTATCTATCTATCTATCTATCTATCTATCTATCTATCTACCTATCTATCTATTTATCTATCTATCTATCTATCTATATATCTATCTGTCTGTCTGTCTGTCTGTCTGTCTGTCTGTCTGTCTGTCTGTCTGTCTTTATTTCTGTCTGTCTGTATTTCTGTCTGTCTGTCTGTCTGTCTGTCTGTCTGCCTCTACCTCGCTCTCTATCCCTCTCTACCTCTCTCTCTCTCTCTCTCTCTCTCTCTCTCTCTCTCTCTCTCTCTCTCTCTCTCTCTCTCTCTCTCTACCTCTATCTCTCTCTTCCTATCTCCCCCATCTCTCTTGCCCTCTCTCTCTTACCACGTTGCATTTTATCGTCGTTTCCCAGTGTTACTCAGTTATTGTAATATCATCGTTTAAATCTTGATGTGTATAGGGGAACTCTACGAGAAAGAAACAAATGTTTCGCCCGCGCTCTTCATTTTTTGTGAAATCCTTTTTTTATGTGCACTTTGGCCACTTCCTTGTGTTATGTTTTGACCAAATGGTTTTCTTTGATGTTTTACTCAAAGAGGTTACAATACTACGTTTTATAATCTCTTTGCGTTTTACTACGTTACAACAACTATCTTGCCTTGACATACCCTTTCAACAAGGAATTCTCTTCCAATTTTATTGACTTAAATCCGAATACACAGCAGCTATCTTGGTCACCAGTCCTCTCCCATTCTGCTTCGTTTCATTTTACTCCTTCGTAATTTTCGTTGCTTGTACACAAAATGCATGAAGGTCCAAAACA